CACTTGAAATGGGGTAGTTGGACTAAATGACTTTTGAATGTTCCTTCCAACCAAACTATTACAGACCAGCCTATTCTACTCTACTCTAATTGCAATCTAAGTTAGCACTTTCTGAACCATTTTCTCTCACACAAGTTCATAAGTGATCTTCACGATTCTCACTCTCTCTTCCAATTACTCTTGGCAGAATACTGAATTGTCCTGGCCAATTTATTTCTAAAAATCGTCTTGCCCCACTGAAGTGGTTTTTTTTTTTTTTTTTTTTTTTTTGTTTGTTTTGGGGTATGCTCTGTAGCATGGCAGAGAAGATTTGCTGCCCTTTAGAGAAGATGCTTTAATTTAGGAAATTCAAGCACAGGCCAAAAGAGGCACATAGCAGAGTAAAATTGTAGTCAGAATAAGCAAAGGGTGCATGCTCACCAATGTTCTACTTCATATTCAGATTAAATTTTGCACTTTAAATGATGTGCACCAGGAAGTTTGTGGATAATGGCAATCTCGTTCCAAAAAATATCAGCCAGGAGTGTCCCTTCTGCAATGTTTAGTCTCTGTTTTAATAGAGGTAGAAATTGGCAGTTGGCAGTCATTACACAAATGTGGTGTAGGGTAACACCTGGACTTCAGATTTATCTGATTTCCTGGACAATAGCAGTATCACTAATACCCTCTGTTAAATAAGACCACCTGGACATCTCCTGGTACCAGCTCAAGCTATTACAAACATGCTTACCACCTAGGCTAGCACAATGGATTGTTATCTCCTGAGCAGCACAAATCCCCAGACTGAAACAAGCCATCTGGAATCTGATTAAAGTGTCCATAGAAAGCACATATGTTTAAAATGGAGAGAGAGGGAGAGAGTGGAAGGGTTGGTCCTTGCTCAGTAGGGCACAATCTCTGCCAGAACCAGCAAATTCTTCGTTCGCTGAAAATTCTTTCTCCTTCTATGCAAGAAACCTTTCACCAAAGCAGCTCTGCAGAGGTGAGGCTGCTGGAGGATACTGTTCTTCGTTTTTCCTTTTTACAACTGCTGACAGAAGTATGTTTAAGAGTCTTAGTTTGGCAACAGGAAGGATACCATCCCTTGTCCGATTCTACTGGCTGAGAGAAGTATGCCCCAATCAGACAATGGTAGTCAAAAGGAATAAAGCAAGATCCTTTCCTTGGATGTGAGCCAGCCTTGTCCTTTCATGCATTATTCATGAAATATAGAAGGTATTAACAGCAAAAGCTGGGGAGTGGGAGCAAAACTAAACCTGGGGTGAAATGAAGATCGCTCTTCAACAAAATCAGAGAAAAGGGAACAGAAAAAAGATTTTATTTTTCTTGCTTAAATCAGTCTCTCAGTAGGATTCCAGGAAACTCAGTGCTATCATTTTCTTATCTTTTTCCTTGCTGCTTGATTCATTTTCTCTAGCATTCCCAAGTATATATTGAATTTACTTATTTTAGTCAGACTAAACTACAACAGAGAGATAGGCAGGCTGACAGAGCACTCCAGGAGAAGTTTATCACAGGTATGAAAGAAAGAGATCCTGCTGAGTTCTGATATCCCTGAAAAAAAAAACATGACCCAAATTTTTATACGTATATACAGTCTGCTGGGTGAGAAAATGGAGCAAAAAGTCATAGATACAGTCACCAAATTGGATAGAAGATTATAGTGAGATCTGACATGATCTCACAAAGAACACTATGGTTTTTTTGTTTGTTGGTTTTTGCACCACCTAATATGTCTGGCAGCCATCTCTGAAATGAGACACAAGTGTTGAATGAATGAGAGCAAGTGAAGAAGGATAAGAGAAGAAGAAACGAAGGAAGATATCCCTGACAAGGAGGTGCTGCTCTCTGTGGTCTGGCTCTGTGTGGAAGACTAGTGATTTTGTTGTTCTGATTTATAAAGGTGACAACAAATCATAGCCTGCCATACAGCACAGATCTTCACCCTTGCTGGTAGGAAGAGACTGCTGACTGGACAGGCTTAGACTCTGAGTGAAGCTACAGGAGGAGTGTCCATGAAGAACCATACTGTGGGGCCTTGAGTATTGAGTATTTCTCTCCAAGTACAGCAATCACCTGCTTTCGGGTGATTTAAAGCAATTTCACATCAAGATCAACTATCATTATCTTCATACTGTGGATTGAGGAATCTTAAGTGTCTAACTTAATAGAATTCACAGTATTTCTGTGGCAGACTTGGGGTTTGAACCTCAGCAGCTGAGGTCTGCTGAGCACTCAGAGCTTCTGCTTGTTTTGAAGTTCCATCTTGGTGCTTCCAACAGGGTTTCAAAAATCAAAACAAGTAAACTTTCATTACCAGCCAGAGGCTCTATTCGCAGAGATGTTTAAGTGTGAAAATGGAATTCCAGAATCCTGCTGAGGCCAAAGGGAAAAGTAAGTACTGAAATGTCTCTAATAATTTGGTGGGTGGAGCTATATTTTCTTTGTCTGCTCAGCATGGCACACTTGTCGTTGTTATTACCTGAAGGGAGGGTGAGAGAGGACTGAGCCATGCCCTTTTCAGTGGTCCCAAGACAAGAGGCTGAGGGGAAAAAATGACACGCAGGAGATTCTGTCTGAAAGCATCAGGAAGCACTTCTCTGCTTTGAGGGTGACCAAGCCCTAGAGCAGGCAGCCCAGAGAAGTTGAAGAGCCCTCCTCAATTCTTGAAGATACTCAAAAGCCACTGCAAGATGAAGACAGCCACTGACCTCCAAAACAATCTGTTTTGTAGTTTACAAACATATTTTACAGTCCTTGTATCCAGATTCTTCGTGGGTCCTCATCCTTTGTGTCCAATTGATACTGAACAGCTCCTAGGTTCTGTTTCCTAAATATTTGTTGATCTGCTGCAACTTTTTATTCTATTTATTTCTGCCTTATTTGTTACCTTGTAAAAGGAAATAGCAATTCTCACCTCTTAGGAAGATGGCTAAGAGTGCTCTGTCTGTCTAGAAGACTGCATGTTCCTCATGGCTTTTGTCCTACCAGGGAGCCACATGCTGCAAAGGAGAATGATAGCATGCAATTGAGGAGGGGACAACTTGTTGAGCCACTCCCAAGGAAACTGATTGTACATTAAAAGCAAATTGAACCTAATTCTTAGGTGCAAATCTGATGCTTTTCTACCTTGCCATCTGCCTCAAAGCTAGTTTTTTCTCCTTTAAATTTGGAAGAGAAAGGGTCCAAATCCCAAGATATTATTATTATCATCTCAGATAATCTGTAAGTAGGAGCAGAGCAATTATTTTCCCAGGAAATTTACTGCTAAAGGAATTTAACAACTGTACAAATTGCTGCCAATTGGTGAAGTATGAAAGAAAAGATCTTGTTTCATAAGATGAATGACATACTCTCCCTTTCTTCTACCCTTCTACTGATATATATTAAAGGTACAAGAAATCGGACGACAGTAGTGCAACCACTAATGCTGAAATTGCTAGGCTGGTGTCTAATCTAAATGGAACTTTGATGATTTAGTGTTACCCAACATATCTCTCCTCCTTGCTCACTTCATGCAGTCTGATAAAAATCCTTCCTTCCAGGTAGCAATGGCCTCATGCCCTGTATAAGCACAGAAAATAATGTCATCACAAGCCTTAATGATGAAGGTAGTTACAGGACAAAGGCCCCTGCAGCAAGTTCAGTATTGGGTCATTGTTCCAGCTAATGTCATGGCGCCATTTCTCACTATTTTTAGAATTGTTCTCTTTGTACAGCAAATTTCTCTTGTAGTTACTTAAAAATACAGCAGATCTTGCCTTCTCTGGACTTAGTAGCAAAAGATTATCTTCCTCTGACTTCTGAAAATTAGACAATCCCCTAAAAGCTGCAGAGATTGATTAAAAAAACTTAAATTTAAAACCTAAATTTAAGCTTAGAAAAAATGAGGATCTCAACCCAGAGTGCTGTTAGCTCTTGGTGTAATGACAGACTAAGTACAAAGACCTTACAGAAAACTGCAGGAATCCAAGTTATCCCTTCACAGTCCTAAAAAGTAACTCAGGGATTCAGTAAATCAGCACAAACCTAATTCCCAAGTTGTTTATATGTTAGCACAGATCCAAATTTGTCAACATTTTGAGGAAAGAGATGTTTAACACTGGATGAGGAACATTCCATCCTTTCATGCTAAAACTGTGTTCCATGTCATATAGCCAAGCTCTTTTATTATTATCTACTTTGTATATTATGGTTGCCACAGATACCTTATCAAGAATTGAAACTGATTTTAGTTGCCCTATAAGCACAGAAAATGCAACCTTTAAACTCGGAGTTTAAAGATTTAGAAAGCAAGACAGATAGAGAACAGTTCTCATTCCCACGTTACAGACAGGGAAATAGGACACAGGAAGGTTAAATGACTAGCCCACAGTCAGAAAAAGTTTCTAGCAAAGGTACGGTCTCAGCCTATATTTCCAAAGTCTCTGCCCAACATTTTAGTGATCCATTCATTTGTTGTTTTTTTTGTTTTGTTTTGGTTTGGTTTTTGGTTTTTTGTTTTTTGTTTTTTTAAGTACTGTGTCATTATTTCTGTGAAAAAAATTATGCAACTCCTTCAGCAGCCAGTACTATATAATTCAACTTGTCTGAAAGGGAATATGAAATGGCAGTTAAAAAAAAAAAAAAAAAAAAAGTAACCCTCCTGCCATACAGTCTAGCAGCCCTGTCAAAATGTCTCATGTTTTATCTTCTTTTACTCTGATTGGTTTTTTAGTTCCCTCTGTAGTCTTAGAACACTGGCTGGGGCTTTATCTGCATTACCCTACAAAGTCAAAATCATGGAGTCTCCAGGGCCATGTGGAGGACGTATTCTATAGATGAGGGATGTGATACCTTCCAGTCCTTCACTTCAATGCCAGGTGTTCAGAGCCACATGGCATTAGGAGCCTGTGAAGGTTTCCTGGCAGATTCTGTGACAAGGAGGAGTAGTGACTGTTACTCATGAGGATGCAGGAACCAGCCCATGCAACAGACCTGCTCACCCAGATCCTGCTCACCCAGATGCACACTGTGTTAGATGGGACGTTATATGCAGATCTATTCTTCAGTGTTGTATCAGTGGGAGCTGCACTTACGATGCCAGTCTGATTCAGGAGACAGTATCCATCTCTGGGTGATGTTTCCAGGCATCCTGGGAAGGACCCTGGTTTGACATTAATTGTTTTGGTGGTGACTACTGTAAAAGAAGTCAAACAAAACAGGAGAACCAATGTCAAGGGAAATTGACCAGAATGCCTCTGGTTTCTGCCTCTCTCCCAGCCCAATCCTGCCCCAGTGCAGCACATCAGTGCAAGACAAGTTGATGTAACACAGTCACCAACATGTTCTGTGACCTCTCAAACCAGATAATCCACTCACAGCTGGGTCAGGGTGTACATGGCTCATCTACTTCATACCTATGCTTCCGATCTTTACTGAGCATTTTCTTTATTCATGGGAAAAAAAAAAAAAACAACAAAAAAAAAACAAAAAAAAAACCACAAAAAACAAACCAAACCAAACAAAAAACAAAAACAAAAACAAAAACCACAGCACATTTTAATCAGCAGTAGTTCTGTGATGTGATGTTTCTAACAGCTCACCCAGGAACTGGAGGAAGGCTCTGATATACATTTGGGAGCTAACAAGCTTACTTATTGTTACAGTGAATTTCATATGCATTGTGAGGAGGGGAAATGAATAGGGAGCTTCAGCTAATAGATACCTCAGATAAAAGTGTGAGTGCATCTGATCACCATAGCAACACAAAGAGATTGCAGGGAGAGAAAGTGTCACACCGCCTGTGTCTGTGCCTTGACCTGCCACAAAAACAGCAGCTTTCACACACAGATGCTCGCCAGCAGAGATACAGACCTGTGTATACGTCACAGCCAAGCACATACATGTTCTGTTCACATTTTCAGCTGTTCAGTTGCACGTAGTGCAATTGAAGGGGAGGGAGTGTTGATCTGCTGGAGTGGAGAAAGGATCTACAGAGGGACATGGATAGATTGGATCAATGGCCAAGGTAAATTGTATGAATTTCAATAGGGCCAACTGTCGGGTTCTGCGGTTTGGCCACAACCCCAGGCAACGCGACAGGCTTGGGAAGGAGTGACTGAAAGCTGCCTGGTGGAAAGGGACCCTTGTGTACTGATGGACAGCCAGCTGAATATAAGCCAGCAGTGTGCTCATGTGGCCAAGAAGGCCAATGGCATCCTAGCTTGTATCAGGAATAGTGTGGTGAGCAGGACCAGGAAAGTCATCCTGCCCCTGTACTCGGCACTGGTGAGGCCTCACTGTGAGTACAGTGTTCAGTTTCGGGCACATCAATCCAGAAATGACATTGAGGTGCTGGAGCAGGTCCAAAGAAGGGTACAAAGCTTGTGAAGGGCTTGGAGAATATGCCCTGGGGCTATTTAGTCTGGGGAAGAAGAGGCTGAGAGGAGATCTTATTGCTCTCTTCCATTACCTGAAAGGTAATTACAGCAAGAGCAAGGCTCGTTTCTTCTCACTGGTGACAGGTGACAAGATGAGGGGAAATGGCCTCAAGCTGCACCAGGGGAGGTTTAGGTTGGATACCAGGAAAAACTTCTTTACAGAAAGGGTTGTTAAGCACTGGAATAGGCTGTCCAGGGAGGTGATTGAGTCACCATCCCTGAATGCGTTTAAAAACCATTTGGATGTGATGATTTAGCAGAGGGTTGTTAGAGTTAGGGTAGTATGGTTAGGTTGCAGTTGGACTTGCTGATCTTTAAGGTCTTTTCCAACCTGAGCAATTCTATGGTTCTATGATTCTACAGTCAGCTAGTGCATGCACACACACACGAAACCCCATTAAAATGGACCACCTGTGTCCAAACTCATTGCTGACAACTATTTACATAGGCGAACACAATTTTTAGCTTGTGAACACAGGTGTGGATTTGCAGAGGGAACATTAGGATAGTCACACAGCAAATATTCCAGTGCACATAGCCACTTCTCCTGTCCTCACACAGCACTTGCACAGCATGCACATCCAAGGTGCTTGGAAAACTTGGCTTGTTTTCTTTCCAGTGTGAAGCTGTTCTGTCCCCAAGCACACTGCTCATGCAGAGGACACACGCATGCAGCCCAACTTTGTGTGGGAATTCTGTCACAGACACTGGCTTTGGCTGTCAGGAGCACTGAGCACCTGCTGCTCCCAGTGACTTTAACAGCTGCTGAAGTGAAAATTAGGCCCACACTGTCTGTTATGCAAAAGCAGTTTCTAAGCAACAAAAATTATATTCTGTGTGAAAGCGACATGCATTAGCAGCATAATCCTAGATAATTCCAGACAAGACCTAAATGGGTGGAAGAATGGATGGACTGAACAATAACAATGATAGACTAAGTAATGGTAATAGAAATAATGAAGCTAATCTTATTTACTGGGAAAGGAGAGGAACGCTATAAATAAAACACAACAGGAGAAACCTGGTACCAATTCCCCATATAAAGATTTGAGCAACTTAAATTTGGCTTGCACCCTAAAAATAGGCTCTAGTAACCCAAGCTCTACTAACCTCAACCAGGGTGTTTATGGCCTTAAATATTTGTGCTTCGCTCCGCGTCAGCATTTGGGCACAGATAAAGCTGCACGTTGTGTCCTGCGCTCTGAGAGCGCTGCTCTGACAGCGCCGTGCCGCGGGCAGACCTTGTCCGTCCACAGCACTGCCAACCGCAAGCAGTTCATAATGCACAGCCTGACGCCGTGCAGCTCTAGCCTTTTGGAGTTCAATCACTTCAAGGAACGAAACAGAAATTAAACCCCCAATGAAATTTGTACACGTAAGGTTACGGAAGGGTTTTGGATGCCAAAAGCCTATCGGCTCTACACAGAAACTGAGGCTTCAGGCCGCGCTGGGGGCTCTCAGGGTATTCCGGCACAGAGCGACTCTTTTTCTTTTCCCGCCTTTTGACCAACTCAGAGCCAGGCCCACCTCTCCCCAACCGCTCTGCTTTCCCTCTGAGAGCTGCGACCCTCACCGCCAGATCCCGTCTAATCCACACTGTGGAAGGGAAACCGCGGCGCTCACTGCGACCGCCCCGCAACCATGCACCCCCATCACCACCACTTCCCACCCTCCTCCTCCCCCAGAAGCCCCTGCGCTGACGGGCGCGGGGTGCGCCGGGTAACGCGGCCTCGGCACTCCTGGAATCCGCGGGGAAGGGCTGCGTTCTGTGCCTTGCTCGGACTGCATTTCACACAGCATCCTGCACGGAGTCTCGGCGCAGGCTGTGGTGGCCCCTTCAGCCTTGCGTGCCGGGAGACGGAGTCCCTACGGGGCAGCCCTCGCGTTGCCTGCCGGGCGCGAGACTACATTTCCCATCATTTCCCTCCATCTCCGTCCCCGGAGCCGTCCGGGCGCCATTTTGTTTCGCGTTCCAACCTAAGATGGCGGCTGGGCGAAGAGAGTGAAGGTTGTCGCCGTCGGGTAAGGGCAGTCTCGCCGAATGTCTCCGCTCCCGTAGGGCTCCTTCTCGCCGGGGGCCGCCCTCGCCCGTTCCCCGTCCCGGGGCCGATTTGGGTCCGCAGAGGCGGAACCGGTCCATGGCCAGGAGGCGGCCGACGCGTTCATCGCGGCCCCCGTCGCCATGGACCTGCGCACGGCCGTGTACAACGCGGCCCGCGATGGGAAGCTAAAGCTGCTACAGAAGCTGCTGGGCAGCCGCAGCCGGGAGGAGCTGGAAGCGCTGACAGCAGGGCCTGGTGGAGGTGATGGCTCCGGGGGTGGGAGCACTCCGCTGCTGATCGCTGCCCGCCACGGACACCTGGAGGTGGTGGAGTACCTCCTGGATCACTGTGGGGCCCGCGTGGAAGAGGGTGGATCTGTCAACTTCGATGGAGAAACCATCGAGGGGGCCCCGCCGCTGTGGGCCGCATCTGCTGCCGGGCACCTGGGGGTGGTGCGCAGTCTCTTGGATCATGGTGCCTCAGTGAACCAGACAACGCTGACCAACTCCACGCCGCTGAGGGCTGCCTGCTTCGACGGGCACCTGGAGATTGTGCGCTACTTGGTTGGAGAGCGCGGGGCTGACCTGGAGGTAGCGAACCGGCATGGACACACTTGTTTGATGATTTCTTGCTACAAAGGGCACCGGGAGATTGCACGTTACTTGCTGGAGAAAGGGGCTGATGTCAACCGCAGGAGCGTGAAGGGGAACACGGCCCTGCATGACTGTGCAGAGTCAGGCAGCCTGGAGATCCTGCAGCTACTGCTCCGCTCCAAAGCCCGCATGGAGAAAGATGGCTATGGCATGACTCCTCTGCTGGCTGCCAGTGTTACTGGGCATACCAATATTGTAGAATATCTCATCCAGGGAGGGATGCAGCAGGAGGAAGAGGATGTTGCAGGGAACCAAAACGAGACCTGTGCTTTGGGTGGGAGCCATCAGAGATGCTGCAGCACTGGTCGGAAAACTCCTGAGGGCTGCGACAAAGAGCAGCATGAGAGATGTTGTGCATCAGCTTCCAGTCAGGATGACCAGCAGGTTCCTAATGTGTTCTGCACTCGAGAGGCTGCTGTGGAGGCACTGGAGTTGCTAGGTGCCACATTTGTGGATAAGAAACGTGACCTTTTGGGAGCCCACAAGTATTGGCGAAGGGCAATGGAGCTTCGATACGAGGGTGGGCAGTACCTGCCTAAACCTGAACCAAGGCAGCTTGTGCTGGCATACGATTACTCACGAGAAGTAAGTTCGTTGGAGGAGCTAGAAGCCTTGATTACTGATCCAGATGAGATGCGCATGCAGGCACTGCTCATTAGAGAGCGCATCTTGGGTCCTTCGCACCCAGACACCTCCTATTATATCCGCTATCGAGGGGCTGTCTATGCTGACTCAGGCAATTTTGAACGCTGTATTAACTTGTGGAAGTATGCTCTTGACATGCAGCAAGGCAATCTGGAGCCTCTTAGCCCTATGACAGCCAGTAGTTTCCTTTCCTTTGCTGAGCTTTTCTCTTATGTGCTTCAGGACCGCTCCAAAGGCACTTTAGCTACCCAGTTGGGCTTCTCTGATCTCATGGGAGTACTGAGCAAAGGTGTCCGGGAGGTAGAGAGAGCACTTATGCATGGCAAGGATCCTGTAGTTGACTCGGCACAGTTCACCAAGACACTGGCCATTATTCTCCACCTGGTTTTCCTGCTGGAGAAGGTGGAATGCACCCCAGAGCAGGAGCACCAGAAGCGCCAAACTATCTACCGCCTGCTGAAGTGTAGCCCTCGAGCCAAGAATGGCTTCACCCCTTTGCATATGGCTGTGGACAAAGATACCACGACAGTGGGACGCTACCCAGTGGGCAAGTTCCCATCACTTCATGTTGTTAACTTGCTTCTGGAGTGTGGGGCTGACCCAGACAGCCGTGACTATGACAACAACACCCCGCTGCATGTTGCTGCTCGCAATAACTGCCCACTGATCATGAGTGCACTGATGGAGGCTGGAGCCCATATGGATGCCACCAATGCCTTCAAGCAGACTGCTTATGAGCTGCTGGATGAGAAGCTGCTCTCCAAGAGCATGATGCAGCCCTTCAATTACATCACCCTCCAGTGCCTTGCTGCTCGTGTCCTGGACAAGCACAAGATTCCCTACAAGGGCTTCATCCCTGAGGAGCTGGAAGCCTTCATTGAACTACACTAGAGTGGGAGAGCTGAACTCCCAAGCCTTTCTTGGCACTAACTTCGCCCCCAGGAAGTAGCACAGCCTGAAACTTAAGGCTATCTTTGTCTGGGTGTCAGAGGCTGTTTTGTGTTGATGGGCTGCAAGCTTTGTCCTTACCTGTCACTGGCAAGCTGGCGAGTGCGGGGGTAGGGGAGGAGAAGGGTCAAGAGCTCATGGCTATCCTTCATTGCCACCTTCAGGTACTAGATATCTCCATAGAGCACTGTATCCAGAGAAGGCTGCAGCCCCTGCGTTTTTCCATACGAACCATCTTATCCTGAGGAGGAAGGAAAACGAAGATCCCTGGGACCTGCTGCCTTTCCCATTAGTGCAGAATTAACACAGCATTAAGCTTTGGAGCAGCTACATGTCACATATGCACTCTATCCCTTTCCATCCCAAAAATTGAACAGTTAGGAATGCAAGAGGGGAATAAAGTATTTTCCATCTAGTTCTTTCCCTGCCCCCTCCTCAGACTTGATACAGTACTGCTCTGATGGCAAAGTGGCTTATTCTCTGCTGAGGTAGTTGCTTTGCATGACAGTAGGGCTGGGTATGCTGATCATTTTTTTGTTTGTTTGTTTTCTTTTTTCCTTGGTTGGCCATGTAGGAAGTGATGTTAAAGATTTCGATGATTGTGCATAAATATGGGTTATTTTTTCTCTTTTAGAGCCAGGCCCTATCTATGCTGCAAGACTACTTCAATCCAAGTAAGATATAGTAAAGTCAGTTCTGGTTACAGTTTCATCGGAAGATATTGATATGAATGGGGAAGAAAACCTGTGACCTCAGAAACAAAATGCTAATTGGAATTCAAGCTTTTGCCTTGCCCATTCTGCACACATTAACTCCATTTCCCAAACGGGGTCCTTCAGCTCCAGAGCTCAGCAGGTGATCACACTGAGCTGTACAGAATGAATATAGCCAAGTTTCAGAGCCCAGCCTATGCACTTTTAACCATCTCTGAGGATGTATTCTGGTAAACCCCTTTAGGACGGGAAGTACTTACAGTGTGAGTGTGGGTAGTGCTTAGGATTTTTTAATTGAGCCAGTGAGTGTAGCATGTCCGTATGAAAGAAGAAGGAAATGTAAGTTAAGGGCACCTTCTGGGTTTATTGATATCAACCCAGGAGGCTCTGTTAGTATCCCATTTTGAAGACCCGCATGAAGTAGATTGTTAATATCTGTTTTTGGCTTCTGATTCGTTCTGTATATTTACTGAGGGTGGCGGTGCTACATCAGGAATAGAATTTGAAATCTCATCTGGCTACTGTTAGGCAAGCTCATTTCTCTAATTAGAATCTGCATGCAACTTTTTTTTCTCTTTGAATTTGTAGTCTTGCGGTAGGTATTTGCCTACATTAGCAGAACCCTTCTTGGTGTAAACATGATGCTGTTCAAGCAGTTTATCTTCTTGCAGGAGGAGGGACTTTGGCGCCCTCTGGCTCCTTTTTTGGTCTGGGCAGAATGGAAAGCACAGTTGAAGGCGAAGCAGCTGCCTCAGCTTTTGAGAAATGTCAAGATTGGGAGTACAGAACCCTGGTAAACAGCCATGTGCTATATGCTTCTGAAGCTTCTCTATGTGTATGTATAAGCCAGCATACTCATAAACCTCAATAATCCAATACTCTCTGCCCCTTAAAGATACTAGAGATCTGCCATTACATTTTTGCAGTGTTAACTATAAGTTCTATTTATAAAGTAAGGAGTTCTAACTTTTACTGAGATGTAAAGTTCACATGTAGTTTTGCTGCATTTTTCCCCCCTAATTTTGGCTGAAACTTGATCTAAAATGCAGGAATGGAATTTGTTAATTTGTGAGCTGATGAGTGCTCTTAACTTTAAATAATAAAACAAAAAAATGGCTGCTAGGATGTAAGTGCCTTGGACTTCTTGCTGGTAAGCCTCTATTTTCAACTCCTTGTTTCGTAGCAATGGTATGTTTGTGGATATGGTAATTCTGTTTCATTTCATCTGAATTTACTCATGGGAAGAGTTAA